AAGAAAGAAAGAAAGAAAGAAAGAAAGAAAGAAAGAAAGAAAGAAAGAAAGAAAGAAAGAAAGAAAGAAAGAAAGAAAGAAAGAAAGAAAAAGAAAGAAAAATAATTAACACTAGAGGGAAGAGGGCAAAGTAGTGAAAAATAGCCCAATGTCTCTCTCTCAACTGGAATAAATAAAATGAGAGCTTGAAAGGGAGATGGGCACAATCACTACACAGAAATGCCATTTTGAACTAGGTTTCTCTGGGTCTCAAATTTCCCCAATATAAATCGGGGATGAGAACTGACATTCTGTGATGTCACCCAGGGAGCCTCCAAATGGAGGCTCCAAAGTCACCTTAGACAAAACTATGCCTCTTATGTGATCAGCATTGGCCTATATGTATCTCTCCTTCATTTGCTACAAGTGTATTCTCTGTCAATAAACATTTTTTAAAATGCCTACTATGTGCCCTAGGCAGTGTGCTAAGCTCTATGTCTCTCAATGTGTGTATCCTAAACTGTAAGTTCAATTTAATTCAATAGACCTTTATTAAGCATTTATTCTGTGCAAGGTATTGAGAATACAAAATCCAAAATAAAGGTGTTTGCAATCTACTGAGGAGACACAGACAGATAAGTATATGCTGAGTAAAACAAGGTAATTTCAACCGGGAGAATCAAGAAGGGTTTCATACAGGAGATAATACTCCAGCTGTGCTTGGAAGAAGGTTAGTGAGGGGAAGAGGCAGTGGGGCAGGTTCTAGTGTCTACATTCATAAGCATAGTCTTGATTTAATGAGCATACAGTGATTAAGATTTATTAGTCTAACATAACAATGATATCAATAGTAACTTAGCATTTATATAGCATTTTATGGTTTGCAGGGCACTCTATAAACATTTCATTTTGTCCTCACAATAACCCTGGGAAGCAGATGCTACAATTATCCCTATTTTAGAAATGGGGAAACTGAGGCAGACAAAGGTTAATAAGTGACTTGCCCCTGGGTCACACAGCTAGTAAGTGAATGAAACCACATTTGAACTCAGGTCTTCCTGACTCTAGTTCCAGCATTCTAGCCACTGTTAAAACCTTGCACCAGATAAGGAAAACAATCATTTACAGGTTTTAGATCATAAGAGTTTAGAGATAGAAAGGACCCGAGAGAGTATCTCATTCAACCATCTAGACATTTTGTTGTTGTTGTTCAGTTGTTTTAGTCACGTCCAATTCTTCATGACCCCATCTGGAGTTTTCTTGACAAAGATACTGGAGTGGCTTGCCATTTCCTTCTCCAGTCCATTTTACAGATGAGGAACTGAGGTAAATGGGGATAAGTGACAGATAATTTCCCCACTAAAGGAGAAATGACTTGCTCAAGGTCACATAGAAAATAAAGCAACAGAAGCAGGATTAAACCCTGGTCGTTTGACAGTAAATTTAGCATATTTTCCTCTATACCACCTTGGCTGTCAGAAGAGTTTTATTTCATAAATTTGCTGTTGCATCAGAAAGGTGATTAAGGGGCATGTTTTCTACTCACCCTTCTCTTTCCCCTCAACTTAAAAGTTAGATCATGAAACACGGATGATAAAAACTTCCAGTGGCTGAGACCTCATGTGGAGGCAAAAGTCTATGAGTTTTCCTCAGAGTGCACACAAAGACTGGGGGTTAGAAATGGCACATTTAATCTTCAGATTTTTCTCCAAGAAGAGCCAAAGGGCCCCTGACATTCACTGAAATTACTAAACTAGTTAATGACATGCAATAGCTTAACGATTTCAACTGCATAGTTTAACAATTTCAAATACACGGCTTCCTCTAAGAGGAAAACAGTCAATTACCTCCAGTGTCAGATTATGGGAAGTGATTCATCTAAAGTCATAGCATAGACAGCTATTGAATCTTTATGTTTCAATCAATGACTTCCTCAAGCCACAGCAAGGAAAACAGTGTGAAGCAAGGTAATGCAGTAAAAAAGGAAGAGCATTAAATAACCTGAGAATTATGATTCCCACCAGGGTATCATTGCAGAGCAAAATGGCTTCCTGGGAAACCACCAAATGGATCTCAAGAAACAGAGCTAATGAGATGCTAATGTTTTGTGAAATAGGAATTGGGAATGGGAAGACGGAACCGTAGACCAGAACCAAAGCTACAGCTGAGACGTCGGGAAGTCAGTTCCTTGTTCTCTTCAGAGCCAACTTCTCCAGATCCACCACATTGAGATTGAACAATCATACTCATGAATTAAAAGAATGTTGCTGGACCCTAAGAGTAGATATAAATTTAAATAATCAGGAATACAATCATTTCCTTTCTAGCTGAGTTTTTGCTCCTGAGGAGAGGAAAAAGAACCAGCCTTATTTCTCATTTTATTAGATCCAGTGTTTCTAACCTTTCCAAGAAGCCAGACTCTTTTCAAAAGTGAGACCTTATCAGGGAGAAGTCACTTGGTTCAGGTACTCTGACACCTGAGGTTGTGGTCTGGTGTTTTAATACAAAATGAAATACTGGATCGGTGCTGTAACACTGAGATGTCTAAGACTGACCCACCTCCCTTATGGTTGATCACCTACCAGTTACATCAGGTCAGATGCACGAACTGAACTATTGGCCTTGGGTTCTAGATGCTTGAGTTCCCTAGATTGGCTGATGAGGCAACACTTTATTTCAAAGATTTAGATCATCTTGATTATCAGGCTGTTAGCTCCTTGAGGACAGAGGGCCTACTTTATGCCCTTCTTACATCTCCTTGATATAGCAATCTGTCCCCCCACAGGGGGAGCTCAATCAATTGTTCTGACAATGACCCACAAAACTCAAAAGCCAGAGCAAATGATGAAGGCAAAGCAGGCCATCACTGCTTCTCCTAGATGCTCATTAATAGGCTCTCTAATAATACATTTTGGAATTTTGCTGGGAATGGAAGTTCACTGGCCCATAGTTGGCAAATTCCATTTGAAATGCAAGAATTCAGAGGGGCTGTAGCACATAGAGGTTCTGGTATGACCTATTCTTGATGTCAAACAATCCCAGCTTTTCCTAGATAGATGTTCCATTAACAAACTCTCTCATAACACAGTTAGGAATCCAAGTCAACCTGCCTCTTCCATTCTCTTTCCTTCTTTAACTTTTACCTTTCTCATACAGTAACTTCAAAATCATTGTGAAAACCTTCCCCTTGAAATTACCTTGTTTTATTTAATATATACTCATCTGTGTCCATGTTTTCTCTCCCTTCCACCCTCTTGCCCAAACCCACGTAGAATGTAGGCTCCTTTTTTTGTTTTTGTTTTGTTTTCTCTCGCTATTGTTTTGTTCTCGCCATTATTTCCCCAGTGCCTAGCACAATGTCGTGTACACAGTAGGTGCCTAAAGAGATAAGAAGTCCATGACTCCAAGGTAGCCACGTGGAGAAGGCAACAGCATGGGACCCCGGGAAGTGGGCAGGAAGAGATGCAGCCAGAAGGCACGCTATGGATTACTCTACCAGTATTTTCTACTCACAGCAAGCATTGTACTGGGTTACACTGCAATGTAACGTTGGCCTGCTGAAAAGAGTCCCTAACAATTCTACAGATGCCCCCAATGATACATTGGAGTAAACTGAGGGAGAGTCAGCTAGGACTCTGAGAGCAGTGAGGCAGGGGGGCCACAGGGGAATCCCTGGGGGTTTTTGTTCCTATGTTGATGTGTCCTTCTGGAGTGCAACTGGCTCCAAGGAGACAAACAGCGGGGTATGGGACTGTACGTGTTTCACAGCAACATAGATTTGGAATCACAAGAGACCTCAGAGATAATTTTACTTTCTATTAGGATTGTATGATCCTTGAGGGCAGGGCTGTGAAATATATTTGCCTTTCTTTATATTCACAGTGCTTAGCACAATGACGGCACTTAGTAAATGTTTAATAAATGCTAATGATTACCAGGTGACTGATCCAATTCAGTCTCCTCATTTTACAGAGATAAGGAAACTAAGGCCCAGAGAGACTCCTTCTGTGGCTTGCCCAGGGTCACCCAGGTAGGCAAAGTAGTGAACACAGGTCCTTTGACTCCAAATTCAGAACTCTCCAGAAGCTGAGGGGATAACACTTTGCACCCAGCCTCAGGCGCAGTTAACACCATCAGACGTTTTGCTTTTGCTTTGATTCTTACTTGATATGAACCTTCTGAAACCATGTCAAGTTTTATCTAAAAAGATGCTGATAGATGATAGGAGCAGCACTTAGGGGCAAGTTCCTCAAGACGGCCTTTTCCCCAATCAGTAAGACATTTCTCTGGCAACCACACACTTCTGCATTTCACTTCAAATTCCTTCCTCCTTTTGCTGCTGAAGTTGTTCATCATTTATCTCTATTTCTTTCTGTGCCATAAGCTTTATGAGGCTAGCTTTTACATCCTTCTGCATACAGCAGGCTAAATCTTTGTTGAACTGAATCCATTGATTCTATCTGGCAGGAACCTCTGGCAGATCTGCTTTTTAATTTTTAAGGGGACTCTGCTTTCTCTCTCCCCTCAGAACATTTTAAAACCCATTTGGACAGAACAGGAGAATTTTTAAATTAACTCATACAGTTGTTTCCTTTTGGGCATATATCTGCACACCAGCTGCACCAATGGAAGAATAGAATATGACCAAGTTATTACTTCTGAACCTTCTATCAATTGCACCTGGCTATACCCTCAAAGCAAGCTGCCCCCTGGGGGCTAGGCACATGTCCATAATTTAGGTGGTGCAGTGGATAGAGCACCAGAATTGGAATCAGGAAAACTTCCTAAGTTCAAATCTTACCTCAGCGACTTAGTAGTTGTATGACCCTGGGCAAGTCATGTAACCCTGTTTGCCTCTGTTTCCTCATTTGTCAGATGAGCTGGAAAAGGAAATGGCAAACCTTGGCAAGCCTCTGCCAAGAAAACCCCAAATGTGGTCACAGGGAGTCGGACACAAATGAAATGACTCAACATCGACAACAGTGTGTATGTAGAATGTCCACGTTCATGGCAGGTCTTCTCCCCACTGGGCAGAGAAGTGGGTTCTGTATTACTCAATGAACTGACCCTGCTGAGACCAACCAAATGGCTACTGACCTTTGATGAAAACAGCTCGGGACTTGTTACCCCATCTCAGGTTCCTAAATCAAGGTTTGTATGCTGGGAAGTTTTAATGTCTTTAAGTTACGGTGGCTTAGAGAATACATTAGCTAGCTAACTATGCACAACCCCGCAGCAGAAAATAGAAGCAATAGACAATCAACGTCATGTTGAACAGTGAATCTACTCATTAGACAAGCAAATAAATCATTGAATTGGTTCAATATAATTATTTTATAATTCAGCCATTCTAGATCGCCTCAAATTTCTGAATATAACCACTGGGAAGTCAGGGCTATTTTATATGACTGAATTATTGACAAGCTACCAGGGCCATAAATAAAAATACTTTTCACTGATATGCTGCAATACCATTTGTTCTTTTGGGTCATATTACCTCCTATTTAGGTTGGCTTGTTTGAATTACTCAACTATAAATTCCTCAAGGGCAAGGACTAAGTTTTATTTCATCTTTGTAAATACAGGGCCTAGCACAAAACTTTTCATAAACAAATGCAAAAAACAAAAACAAAAACAAAAAACCAACAACCATTTCTTAAGCGCCTGCTGTGTGCTAGATTCTGTTATGTGTTGTTCAGTGATTTCAGTTATATACAACTCTCTGTGGCCCCATTTTGGGGGTTTTCTTGGCAAAGGTTACTGAAATGGTTTTCCATTTCCTTCTCTAGCTCATTTTACAGATGAGGAAACTGAGACAAACAAGGTTAAGTAACTTGCCCAGGGTCACACAGCTAGGAAGTGTCTGAGGCTGGATTTGAACTCATGAAGAGGAGTGTTCCTGATTCCAATCCCAGTGCTCTATCTACTGTACCACCTAGTTGCCCCAGGCCCTGTCATATTTGTTGGAAATATGACTGATATTTTTAAAGCACCTATTGTATTCAAAGTACTATTCAAGGTATACAAATACAAAAAGGAAAGTGCCTTCAAAAAGCTAACATTTTGGTGGCAGATATAATGTCTACACTGAGAAGTAACTGTATGAAACATATAGATGGTAATTTCAAGTCGGGCAGAGCACTTATCTTGGAGTACAGCTGGAGGAAATCAGAAGAGGCCTCACCTAGGGATGGGTGCTTAGGTTGTGCTTTGAGGGAAGACAGAGATTCTAGAAGGTGTCCTAAGGAGCACACTCCAGACGTGGCCAGATGGGGACACCTTTGCAAAGACTGGAAAGTGGGAAATGGAATGTCATGTAGGGCAGAAAAAGGAGTTGCTTTATCTAGAATGGAGAGCGTATGAAGAAGGGGAGCATGAATCATGATGGGGAAAGTTAAGTGTGAGCCAGATTATGGAAGACTCCAAAATAATTGTAGCATAGTAGATGGAGCACTTGGAACTCAAATCATGCCTCAGACACTTCCTTACTGGATAACCCTGGGCAAGGGACTTAATTAATTAGCCTCGTGAGTTTCCTTGCTTATAAAATGAGAATAATAATAATAATAATAATAATAATAATACCTCACAGAGTTATTGTGAGGATCAAATCAGATAACTTATGTTTACAAAGTACTTTGCAAATCTTAAAGCACTATACAGATACTGATGATGATGACGATGATGATGATGGGGGATGATGATGACGATGATGATGATGGGGGATGATGATGATGATGAAGATGATGATGATACTAGACCGAGGATTTTTTACATTTTATACCAGAGGCAACAGGGAGGCAAAGAAGATTTTTGAGCGGAGAAATGATCTGTTCAGATCTGTGATTCATGAATATCAACTTGGTGATTGTGTGGAGAATATATTGAAGTCGGCAGAGACCAAAAACAGAGAAACCAATTAGGAGCCAGTTACAATAGCCCTACGCAAGATGAATCAAGAACCAGGGCACTGTGTTTACAAATGGTATACACTACCACCAGCTTGAGCAACGATGCCTACATGTGGTAATCTCAGAGGTAAAGACAAACATAAATTTCCACTCAATCATCCTTTTAAAAAAATTTAAAGCTATTTACAAGAGGAACGAACATCAAAGTATACTGTAAGAGATACATACAGGTGGCAAAGTATTTAAAGAAACTTAAAGCTCTTTCCTTAAGAGCTTAAAGAAATTACAGTTTGGTATTTTCCCCATATTACTTCAATACTTTGAGTTTTCACTGGTGTAACTAATATCTTGATGGTTGCAAATAATAATAATAATAATGATAGCTAGCATTTGTAAAGTGGTTTAAAGTTACGAAGCGCTTTATAAATATTATCTCACTTGATCCTCACACCAATCCTGGAGGAAAGTAGATGCTATTTTTACCCCCATTTTACAGATGAAGAAACTGGCAGACAGGTGAAGTGATTTGCTAAGGGTCACAGAGCTGATGTTTGAAGCAGAATTTGAACCCAGGTCTTCCAGAGTTCACAGCTGATTTTAAGTGTTGCCGTGGCCAAAAAATGAATCACTCTGCTGGCAAACTGCTAATGAGCCTCTCTAAACTCAGCTAGGCTAACGTTCAGAAAACAGACATACATGCACATCTTACCTGGCCCTGCCTTCAAGCCTTTCCAGGTCAGTAGGACGTTCTGGGGCTGGCACAGAGTCGCCTCCACGCCATCAGAGGAGGACTTGAACAGAGGCCCTACTTAGTCTAACCCTGCTATTATGTACTCAGTGTGTGAGAATGCTGCTTTTCTTGAGTCCTAATTAACAGTTGGAGAGCTGCTCTCACCATTAATCGTCTAAGAGTGTGATTTTTCCAAGAATTTCAAAATAATATTCATGGATATAGAATAGGCATTCAATAGACAAATGAAGATTAAGGGATAAAATCACAGAAGTATTTTCAGGCAAAACGTACCGCATCTCTGCCTTTCTCTCCATATACTCAAAGGACGATTGCTCTCTACTGAAGGATGAAAATAAAAGAGGAAGGCACCATCTAACTTAGGAAGTAAGAAGTTAGAGCATACTTACTTTGGGGGTTCTTTCATCAGTGTAGAACTTATAAAGGAACAAGAGAGTGCATATTTGTTTTGGCTGATTTTAATAAGACCGCTTCTGAGGCAAAAGTCCTATAGTGACAACAATAGAGACCATTCAGTCATCAATAGCCGACATTTGGACACATTTCTACCCCAATCTGCCCCATGCTGGTAGTGAGCAGAGCTCTCTGTGCTATTCTCCTCAACAGGGTAGGTCTGAAGAGAGCAGTTCAAAGTCAGGGTTAAGAATCTGTTCGTGGTTTTATTGGTTCACTCATCAAAGTCTTATTTGACTCCTCTCTGTCCTTCCCCCCCAAGGAAAGATTGGTTTCCAAAGCCATCCATCCACTCCTTTTCACACATCTGCCCCTTACTCTCTAATCCCAACATTCTTTGCTTAGGTCAGACTCTGGTTACATCTTTCCCAGACTTGCTTTTTGCCCAGCTTCCTGTGGCCAGCTCAGTCACTCCTCTGTTCTTTTAACCCTGTCAAAGGCAGCATCTTTTTTTGTCTTTTTTTTTTTTACTGTGCTCTTTACCTCCCTAACGTTTCTCATCTTGTCCTATAGTGTTCTATAGCCCTTCACCATGAGCTGTTTTGTATTCTCAATTACAGCTCAAGCAACCTTGCCTACATGAAAATTCTCTTGATTTCCAGTCACAACACTGCTCCCTGGGAACCAACTACCGTGTTGTATTTAACTACCATGTATTTATCCTGCATATACAGTGCTTGATTTTTCCTCCCTCCCCCTGCCTTAGGATAAACTCATTGCATTTGTATTTCCAGTACCTAGCACAGTGCCTGGCATACAGTAGAAGCTTAATGAATGCTTTCTGATTGTTTGGTTAATCTTTCTCTGTGCCTTAACTTATGCCTTTAATCATTCCAAGCTCATATGTTTTTCATACTCTTGCCAGTAAACCTTCTTCAAAAGCAGTGCCAAATGCCTCAATTTACTACCCCTACTGAATGTGGTTATCCCACTGTCCATTTGCCTGCTCTACGTATCCATGTCAGTATGTATAATACTAAAAATGAAAGCAGTGGGAAGATTATATAGTGTTTTTGTGGTGGTTGGTGTTGTTTCTGTGGATGGCACTCAACACAACAAGTTCTTAATCAATCAACCAATCAATCTTGGCACTGATTCAATTGAATTTCAATATACAACTCTACCTACTTGGATGTCAACCAGAACATACTTCCATTTTTCTTTCTGTAAACATGTAATCCTCTATACTCAGCCACTACATAAATCAATTATGTTATAGTTTTCATAATTTTCATCATGAAGGCACCAGGTGAATTATTACAATGACTATTTCCCAAATTGTTCTCTCTTTCTCCCACAGTCTTCTTTCAGCCTGGTGTCATTGTGTTGATATAGGCCTACTTACTCTTCTGTTGTTACACTTCAAAACAGTATAGAATCGGTCATATGGCTCATCTTCACTGGGTGTTGCTGTGATAATGGCCGGAACATAGAAATCATATCCTTTTCGTATGACAATTTTGGCAAATACATAGTCTCCAACCTGTACAGAAGAATGTATTTTATTTAGAATAATCTGCCTTTAGAATAAATACATCATGCTAACATAAGTTTAGGCAACATTAAGTTTTTTTAAGAGTTTTAACTACCACATATCAATGCTGAAAAGGCAAGCATAACACAGAGGACTGAGAACCAGCCTCAGAGCAAGAAGCCCTGAAATTGGATTCTGCCTCTGACACATATTGGCTATGTGACCACGGACAAATCATTTAAATTCTCAGGTTGGAGGAAACTCTCTAATATTATTAAGTTGCAGAGAAAGGAGAAAAGACCAGCCTGAATTGGTAGAGGGAGTTTCCTCACCTGAGGTTTCCCTATACTAATGAAACCACATGTGCAGGCCCTATCCCTATGTCAACACTAGCAAATTTTAACATGGAGAAACAATAGAAATTAGTTTTACTAAACTACCAAGGATGATAAGTAGATCACAGTCCTAATAATTTCAGGGTACTTTCTGATGGTCAGACCCCATCTAGAGCACTTTATTCATTTCTGGAACTGATATCCTAAGAGATATTGATAAACCAAAGTCCATCCAGAGGAAATGAATGGTACTTGACAAAATGTCTTATAAGAAACAGTTGAAAGAGTTGAGTAAATTTATGGCCTGGAGAAGAGATGATTGAGGTAAGATATGATGTCTCAGGCAGCTAGGTGGCACAGTGGATAGAGTGCCTGGACTGGAGTCAGGAAAACTCATCTTCCTGAGTTCAAATCTAGCCTCAGACACTTGTTAGCTGTGTGACCCTGTGCGTTTGCCTCAGTTTCCTCAACTGTAAAAGGAACTGGAGAAGGAAATGGCAAACCACTCCAGTATCTTTGACAAGAAAATCCCAAATAGGGTCACAAAGAGTCAGACACGTCTGAAATAACTCAGCAACAACAACAAATGATGGCTACTTTAACTATTGCTAGGATTATAAGTTCAGGGTTGGGGAGGCCCTTAGAAGATCATCTAGTCCAAATGCCTTACTTTACAGATGAGAAAACTGAGGCCCAGTGAGGTGAAGAGGTCACATAGATCGTAAATGACCAACACAGTATCTGAACTCCAAGTGCTTTGATTCCACACCACGGAAAGGTTGACGTGTTGAGAAGAGAGCAGACCCGCTTGTGTCGTCTTACTGAAGTTACTGCCAACTGAAAAGAGTTTCCTAGAAAACTTTCTGTGGATCTCCTCTGCCCTATGACAAACCATCGTTTGTTTTTTTTTTTTACACTTACTTATATACAAGTCATGTCTCCCTACCTCAACAGGATATACGCTAATTAAGGTCAAGAACTATGTTATTTTCAGTCTTTGGATCTCTAGAACCTGTGACTGTGCCTTGCATATAGGAGGTCCTTGATATGAACTGAATTGCAAAAACTACTAAAAAATGGTAGAAGTTACCCCAAGAAACATTTTAGCTCCATATAAGAAATAACTTGCTAGCAACTACAGGTGTCCCAAAAGGGAATGGGCTGCTATAGGAGACATTTCCATTGAAATTCTGCTTTTCTGGGATGCTGAGATCCCAGAGATCAACTAACCAACTAACCACTCTAGCAATCAGTCAGTATTTATTAAGCATGTACTATGTGCCAGGCACCTTGCTAAGCATGGAGAACAAACTAGAAATTGATCTCCAAGATCCCATACAACTGTGAATTCAATACTTTTTTGACAGATTGCTTTTCAACTGGCTTACCAACCAAGTAATAACTAAAACTAGCAAATCATTGTGAAACTTTATCTTTCCAAAGCTTGTTTCTGCATCTTTTTTTTTAATCACTAATTGACTTTTTAGAGTTAGAGTGATGTAAGGGATATGTGATCAGACCCACTAAATTTTTTATGAATTTATAACTAGATGAGAAAATGCCATGGTACCACAAATATTATCCATTCAAATATGAGTCGTATAAACTTTTGAGGGCTAATTATGTTTTAAGGTCTAGAAAATACAGTTAGTTAAATACTATGCCAAGGGAAAGCAATGGCATGTGCATTGATCATAAATTACTTTTAATTTATTCTTGTAAAGTTAAGAAAAGATGATAAATCCTGGGCAAATTACAGCCCCTCTGTTACCCTGTATACTGTTGGAAACAAGGTAATAATATTTCTAGCAAAAGCAAGTCAATATGATTATTATTTACATTGTATGGAGTTAATTAAGCAACTATAAATTAGCAAGAGGAAAATGGTAGCTTTGAGCCACAGAAAGAGGAGCTAATATTATTTCTTCAACAAATAGTCAAACAAAGAGTCATACTTTACCAAAGAACATAAGTGTGGTGGTGTCATCTGTGCCTTTTGTGCTGTGAGAAGTGAAGAATAGAGTGAACAGTGGGAAAGGTAGCTTAAAGAATTGCTATTTTTCCTACCTGTAGAACTGGACAGGGCATAGCACCGCCCACGGGAGTAATGAATATGATGGGCACGACTCGAGCCTCTCCATGTTTGAACTGCACAAGTGCATGTGTGGGGCCAACACACTTTATCACAGTGCCTGAAATGAATCACTTTTTTTAAAAAAAAAAGACATTTTTAAAGCTCCATTCTACATGTTCCAGATAACTTCACAAATTCTGTTGGCCATTAAATAGGCATTTAGTCACCTGACATTCCTTTTATCTATAGATGTGGGACAAGAATCACAGAATCTCAGATTAGAAGGGACGTCATAGGCTACTCAGTACTTGTACTTGTTTTCCACATAGGAATGTAAACTTGCAAATGGGAACTGTTTCATTCTTCGTATTTTTATCCTCAGTACACAGCATGGCACCCGGCACCTAGCTGAGGGTTCAATAAATATTTGTTGACTGATTAATTAATGACTTGAAATAAGGAGAAACCTACTGCCTCAGGCAGCCCATTTCCTTTTAGGACAGCTTTAATTCTTAGGGAGTTTTCCTTACCTCAGGCATTGTATTCATCATGGCACAGTGGAAAAGAATACCAGTGGAGACTAAGGACCTAGGTTTGTATCCCATCTCCAATGCTTTACTACATGTATGACTTTGGGAAAAATCGCTTAACCTCTTTGGGCCTCTGGTATTCATTTGTAGAATAAGGGGACTGGAGTTGGTGGCCTCTGGGGCCCCATCCAACTCTCAATCTATGAATCTAAGAGCCTTTGAGCCTAAATTTGACTTTCTGCCATCTTCAACTCTTGGTAGAGCCAAGCAAAACAAATCTAATTGCTGTTCACTATGCCAGTCCATCAAATACCTAAAGATAACTATCATGTTTCCTCTAAGTCTTTTCTTCTCCAGGCTAAATGCCCTCCAGTTTTTCAACCAATCAATGTATGGCATGATCCTGAGGCCCCTCACTCTCCTTGTCGTCCTCCACTGGGCACACTCTAGCTTACTGATTTCTTTCCTAAGACCTACCAGGAGGGATTGAACTCAGGTAAGAACTCTTGCAGAATAAATTATCATTTTTGTTTTTTGAGAGCTTTTTTTTTTTGGTCTTATACAATACTTTACAACAGAAGAGCCCAAAGCATTTTATAAACGTTGCTTATAAAATATCAGTGAGATGGGTAGGCATCCAGATAAATGAACAGGGTCCTGGAGAATTTCTATGCCTTATACTGAGCAGTTGTGTTGTGGTTTGTCCTTTGTTCTCAAAGGGGACCATGACATCAGGAAGATGATAACATGACTTGCAACTGAATTGGGTTTAAGTGACTGATGGCTGAACAACAGCAAATATTTGGAACCCCTAAGGGGTACAGTGGATAAAATGCCAGGCCCAGAGTCAGGAAGACTCATCTTTCTGAGTTCAAATCTGGCCTTAAACACTTACTAGCTGTGTGACCCTGGGTGAGTCACTCGACTTTGCCTCAGTTTCCTCCTCTGTAAAATGAGCTGGAGAAGGAAATGGCAAACCACTCCAGCATCTTTGCCAAGAAAACCCCAAATGCGGTCATGAAGAGTCAGATATGACTGATGAACAGCAACAATAACAACAAAAAAGCAAATATTCTTCCTAACTAAAAGATTATTCACACATACATGTGTGACCCCTTCCTCTAGGAAGTCTTTTTGCCTTCCACTTACATAATTTATAGAAGCTGTAAGGAATCTCAGAGGTCAGTGAGGTTCGAACTGCTTCTAAACAGAAATCTCTTCTTTAATATTCCCAACAAGCAGGGCCAGCTTCCACCCAGTAACCATCAGTGATGGGGACCTTACTATGTCTTGAATTAGTCCCTTCCACTTTTGAAGAGGCCTAACTTTTATTCACCTATTCACCTGTCCTTTACTTATATCAGTCTTTCAAGATAAAAAATGGTATTTTTCAGTTGGGAAACTAGGAAAAGAAGCCTATGCTTTCCCCCAGAATGCTTTTCTCAAAGCTGAATAAAAGATCTAATGAGAAATGGGAAAGATGACCAGGTTAAATAAACCAATGTGCCCTCTATGCCCAAATTTACAACTAAAAATAATTAAGAAGCTAAAAATGCTGAGTGTTCCCTTGTGGTGTAGCTGCAGTCAAAGAGGACACTGTAATGGAAAAAGAAAATTCCTGGACTGAGGTTGAGGGGGTCTGGCATTCAGCCTAACTGAATTTATGTTCCCCATTAAAAGGAGGTTATAATTTTTAAGGGACATTTTAGAAACAGATATACTTAACATAGCAGCTACAGTTGTGCACAGAATTCCTTTCATAGATAGAAAATGTGTACACAAGTCCCCATTGTCCTCCAGAACAACACATCTGGCATCCTGGCCATGACCACTCTCTTACTGCTCCATGCAGCCTTGGCAAACTGGGTTTATTTGCTACAAAAGAAACTAGGTGTTGATTTTCTGCCTTGACTTCAGCCCAAACATCTCTTATTTCATTGAGTATTATAAGGAGGCCATGATATTTTTAAAAAATCAAACCCTGCGTTGATTTTTTCCTTAATTTTTGGAATGAAATATTCAACTTGATTTTAAATAAGACTAAATAAAAATAACCAACCAACAAGTAATATTAAATACCTACTATGTTCCTGGCGCTGTGCTGGCCGTCAGAGATACAAAGACTATCAGCTCCAAAGGGATGGCAAGCTGGCTACCAGGAAGGGACAATGGTTATTTCCCAGTTCCCCGAGCAGTTCAATTCACCACAACTGAGCAAACATTTCTGTGACATGGTCCTCTTTGAGAACGAAGGCCAAACAACAACAGCATCAGCCTGCCATATTCATAGCCCCCTGCTACAGAGGGAGCTACAAAGTCCAGCTAAACCCCCACCGAGAGTGGGACTTAGCATGTAGACGAAAGAAGAGCTGAAGTTTATGTGATGTTTTACAAACATTCCGGCAGTTACTCCTTACAACCAGCCACGTGTGGTAGGGAGGGAGGGATCTCCAATTTACAGTTGTGGATATCTAGAGGGAAACAGTGACATGCCCAAGGGCAACTAGCCACTTAGCTAAGCTTTTCATTACTCTTCCCACTACTATCTGGCCCTGTCTGCCAACATGATGTGGCTGATGTAGAAATATGTTTTGCATTGTCTTCGCATATATAATGGGTATCGTATGCTTGCCTTCTCAATGGGTGAGGGAGGGATAGAATTTGGAACTCAAAATTAAGGGGAAAAAATGTTTAAAAAACCCCGAAGGATATAATGATTCCTAAAGTGGAGGGAGTGTATCTTCCTACAGATTAGAAAAGGCAAAGGGTCTTCCCAACAGGGTGATCATACAATCTTTTAAGTTTTACAAAGTACTATCCTCACAATAATCCTGTGAAATAAATGGTCCTCTTTAATTTTTTTTTTTTTTGATGGGGGAGGTGGGATGGTCTGGACCTGTGATTTCATAAGTGTGTGAGAACTACTCCCTGACCTCCCGATAATGCAGACCAGCATCTCCTCTATAATTTATATGCTGGAGAAAATTGCCTACGGGCACTGAAAGAATAATAGGGCCAGAGATTTAGAGCTAGAAAGGACCTTAAGAGGTTATTTCAAGTCCAACCACCTCTTTTTTTTTTTTTTTAGACAGTTGGGGTTAAGTGACTTGCCCAGGGTCACACAGCTAGTAAATGTCAAGAATTTGGTCTGAGGCTGGATTTGAACTCCCATCCTCCTGACTTCAGGGCTGGTGCTCTATCCACTGCACCATCTAGCTGCCTCTACCTCATCTTAAAGATGAAGAAACTGAGGCCCAGAGAAATAAAGGAACTTGCCCGGGGTCAGGAGGAGGACTTGAATCCAACTCTTCCTGACTCTAAGACTTTATGCCATATTATTTCTCTGATCTCCTAAAGTCAAGTGTTCAACCTAGGATCACGCATCTGGAGTCACATGCCAGCAGTACAGGATGAAGAATCAGGAAGGCCTATGGTCATATCCTATCTCTGATACTTCTATTTAGGTGACTAGGAGCAAATGATTCGATCTCTCTGGGCCTCAACTCACCCATCTCTAAAATATTTGTAGTACCTGTCTCCACAGGGTTGTTATAAGGAACAAATGAGGTTATCTGTGTCTATAGAGTGGCTTTTTTTTCCTAAGCAAAACTATAGAACTTTACAAAACCTTAAAATGTTATATAACTATCAGCTGTCCTTTAATGTATGGATTCAAATCCTGGCTCTGACACTTATTACCCGTGTGATCTTGAGGAGATATCTCTCAATCTGGGTCTTCCTTTGCTCATTTGTAAAAAGAGCAAGTTGGACTGGCAGACCTCTAAGGTTCTTTGCAGTTCTAGGTTCATGATCCGATAATTCAGGTCTCTGCCCCGACCTTACACCCAGTATTCTTTTCTCTCCGCCACACAGCCTCTCCTATATGTTATTTTTCACTTCTGTCTCGGGCAGCTACTGGTTAACTGAGAGGCCCAGACAAGTATCTCCAATTATGTGTCCTCTTCATGCTGTGTCTCCCTGTGGGGGGCAAACCAAACCACAATATAGCTGCTAGAGCCACCTTGTTCATCTAACCAATGATTACTGACTCCCTCTGGCATAGGAGAATCCTTGCTATGATCGTGAAGATATTTGAAATATTGTCATCGAGTCATTTCTGTCATGTCTGACTCTCTGTGACCCCATTTGGGGTTTTCTTGGCAAAGATACTGGAGTGGTCTGCCATTTTCTCCTCCGGATCATTTTACAGATGAGGAAACTAAGGCAAACAGGATTAAATGACTTAGTCAGGGTCACACAGCGAGTAAGAGTATGAGGTCAGATTTGAACTCACAAGATGTTCAGGCTCTGAGTTCAGGCTCTATCCATTGTGTCACCTAGCCACCCATATTTGAAATGATGGGGCCAAATGTACTTTGCTTTAAATGTTATAGGCAACTAGATCACGCAATGGATAGAGTGCTGAACTTGGAGTCAGAAAGAGTCATGTTTGAATCTTGCCTCAGACTAGATCTGTAAGCTCGGATTAAGTCCCTTAGTTGGCCTCAGTGTCCTTATCTGCAAAATGAGGATAATAAAGGTACCTACCTTACAGAGTGGTTGAGAGTATCAAATGAAATTAGACATG